CCACCAAGACACTTTAAATAAAACCATTGCTTCCAGCTGAAATACAATACCCATAATATTGCTTTCTGCAGTGAAGTCGTCATCTTGCCTGAATCAGGAGAGAAATATGCACAGATCAAGCTCTGTTTACAAGCAAAAGCAGTCCAAAACAGTTCTAAGCAAAAATGCTGGTGGATTTTGTTGTGAGAGGACAACAGGGGATGGCATTTTTCACTGGAAGAAATGTTACTATTGATTATGGATTAGTATTTTGGCCAGAATCAATGGTTTGAAGTTAAAAAACCTTAATGATGGATTTGTTTCTTACAAACATGCAGCTTTTTGCTTCACAAGACTTTAATTGATCGACCAAAGGCATGTTGTGGATTATTGTGATTATTGTTTTTATCAGTTGTTTGGACTCTCATTCTGACGGCACCCATTCACTTCAGAGGTGAGCAAGCGATATAATGCTAAATTTCTCCAAATCTGTTCCAATTAAGAAACCAGTATAAATATGGTATGATAAACAACCCTTTTTGTGTTATCCAGGCTTTTTGCTTCCCATTATCCTGGGACTTCAGGAGTCAGTCGGTTCTCAATCACATTGGAGGCTAATTAGACAGAACTCCTCTCAGGTAACTCTCACGGCAATTACATAAGACTGCATTTCTCATAAACATCAGCCAATTCAGGATAAAAATAGCTTAATTGCAACTTTTTTGACTGACAGCTTTTGATTGACAAGCTATTAGGTAATTGTTCATGACAGCTGATTAGTCTATGACAAGTATTATTCAAATATCACAGCATCTCCCAGGAAACCAAAGCAAAGCAAGTTCTTGTCGGCATGCAAAGTGATACCTCTGTGTGACAAATATATGATTAAATTCATTACATGAAGTATTGACACAAGTATGGAAATGACTTAACACTTTTCTCACAAATTACACAATGTGTAAATATTTTCCCTGTAGATTACAGGGGTTTGAGTACAAATTCTGGCAATATCAGTGAAAGCTGACTGAATTGAGAAATTAAACCGTGAAGTTATGAAAATAAATTTGTTCAGAGTCTACAAATGTAGAGTATGTACACTATATCGGTCAAAAGTTTGGGCATGCTTTAGTTGCTTTGAATTTTCTCATGAAATTTTACGAACTTATGTTTACGCTTATACTTGAAATTATTTTGAAGCAAAATAAAATAAAATAAAATAAAATAAAACAATTAAATATTCAAGGAAAAGCAGCCAACCAGAATACAACATACAGCTGAACTGCAACAATGTTTTAAAAAATGTTGTTTTTAGGTCATTAAAAAATTAAACTCCTTCAATGAAATGAAATAAATAAATAAATAAAATAAAAACAGTCATGGAAAAGCAGCCATCTGAACTGCAACAATACATTAAGCTTGTTTTTTTAAATTAATTAATAATGACAAAACAAAAACCATTCAGCACACATTTAAACCATTCATAAAATAAAATAATAAAATAAAATAGTAATTTCCATACTTTCACATGTAATAATAAAAAAAACAAGTGTGTCCAAACTTTTATTATAACTTTATGTATAAAAATTATTTCAACTGAAATTGGTTGGCTTTTGTGCCCGTCAAAGTATTTGGCTTATACATATTCCAGTTTGCACAATGAAACCCTAAGATACTTAAAGAATATTTCAAATGAAATAAATGTATTAGGCATATCAGTGGAGCCACTAAGGTGACTCGAAATGAAAACGCACAGTTCCAGCTACCCAAACAGCAGTTAGCACCTAACAAATGTTGTCAAATCAAACTCAAATCACTCGCTGACCCAGGGTCCACACAAATAATTAGCCTCCAGTAGGACAGTTAGTCCTCCGTACTATCAGTGACCTGCAGCACACTGGCACACGGTTCACCCTTTAACCAACACGCGCACACACACTTCAACACTGATAATGCACCCGTGATAAAGGCCCATCAGGCTGAATTGCCCACAGCTGCGGGGCCCCTTGTTGCGCTGGCAGCATTGCCCCTGTCATCGAGAGCGTGCGCCTATCTGACCTGCTAATTTGGAGCATACGCAAGTGCTCTTAAAGTGCCGGGCCTTTTGACATGCCACAAACAGCAGCTGCCACAGCTGCCCTCCAGAAGCTTCATTTAATTCAATTACATCTCTGGGAGATATGTAAACGAGCCCAGGCTCGGAGAGAGGGTGCAGCCGTCAGGGGCTGGAGGGGGTGTAGGGGGTCTAAACCCTCCTCTCCCCGATGCACCGGAGTCATTCACCCCGAAGCTCGCCCGCATTCGCAAGTGTGCGCTCCCCCCGCCCCCTCCGAAGTGTCAAGGCCCAGGTGGCTTGATTGGGCAAATGATTGCGTGAGGCGATCACACCAACCCCCTCCGAACGTCAGCACCACCTTTGCAGGGAAGGCCTGGCACCGGGGTGTTTGGATGCGAGTGGGGGGTTTAATCAGGGTCACGGCGTCTCCTATCACTCCTATCAGTGCGACTCAACCCCCGGGCAGCCCTGCAATTAATGCAACTTTCAAGAGAAGAAGGGGGAGATAAATATCCACCATCTGGCAATTAGGGCTCACAGGACTGAACAACCGTTTGTGAGACAATTCTTCATGACACTAGCAAGAAACGGTGCTTGATACTGGCCTGAAGCCCACAAGCGAGAGCGCTGCGGCTTTTGAAAGTGGCGTCCTGTAAAAGCCGAGGCTATTGAGGCGCATCTCTCATTCTTTCAATAGAGGTTTGATCATGGTTCTTCAGTGTGTCTTTTTGGCGTGCATTCGGGGCACCGACCCCTCCAGCTGTTGGCTGTGGTGGCGCGTGGCTGAAAGAAGCCCAGATCGCGGTGATCAAATTAGCTCCCCCCTCCTCACGGGGGCACAAAGGTTGTCAATGTGCTCTGCGTCGCATTTCAGCGGCTCATTGATGTTATGATTACTCATTTAACCAAACAATGAGTGCCAAGCAGCCCTCGTTGAATGCCCTCTTGCGTGAATAGAGAGAGCTGCTTGTTGAAAGATAGTGATTTAATAGGAGAACTGATTCTTTTCAGCTTTTTTTCCCCCTTCTTCTCCTCCTCACGTATTGTGAAACACAAATGGAGGGAGAACAAATACAGTGATTAGCGAGACAATTAATCCCAATTATTGAGTTGCAAATTCAAGACCTTTGGCAACAACCAAATGTGGGAAACAAGAGGTCTGGGCAAAGTCAAGAGCGGCATGAAGAAAACAGGAAAGAAGGGGACCCTGAGCTCGAGGTCGGACAAAATAACAAAGCAGCGAAACCTAGAATTATATTACAATTCCATTCCATTACAAAAGAGATTTCAAGAGACTGCTTAAGTAGGTAAGCATATTGTCTCTCCATGAGAAGATAACATCAAATAACCTCAGACCTCAAGATAACAGCCTTACAAGGGAATAAAACGAATTTTAAAAAAAGGAAAGAAGGGGACTCTAATACCGAGGTCGAACAAAATAACAAAGCAGCGAAACTTTGAATAATTTGACATTCCAATACCAAAGATATTTAAAGATCTTTCGGTCAAAATTAGGTAACTGTACTGTCTCTCCATAAAGGGATAACATCTTGATTCATTTTAAACCTCAGAAAAAAATAAAATAAAATAAAAACAAAACAAAACATTTTTTTTTTAATTCATGGGAATATATCAGCAAAAAAAAAAATAAATAAAAAATTGCAGCTAGCCAGAATGTAATATACATTTGAACTGCAAAAATACTGTTTATAATGCATTAGGAATTATGGGTTTTTAAATAATTAATCAATTAATAATAAAAGTACTTTTTATTAAGGTCCAGCATAAATTAAATTAAATTAAATTAAATTAAATTAAATTAAATTAAAACTGGGGTCAGCACCTTCAGCATCCCGCCGCTGTTGTGCTTCCCCATAAAGGGATAATTACACACTTTGAATTATTAAGCATCATTATCAAAACTCGCGCTTAACTTGTTTTGCTCTACTGTACGGTTCCTCTGATCTTCGGCAATCATTACTTATTAAAAGAACTGGATGCTTTTTCCCAGCTGGAATATGTAGAATCGTGGCTTAATAAAGCAGCTATACCGCAAGCCCTCGGATCTAAACTTCAGTTAAGCGACAAGAAAATATTAGGGTAACTCGCCGCCACTGCCACCCTGGATAACGAGCAGAAGTCTAGTTATTGGTTCAACTGGATTCATTATCATAGTGGCAGATTAATTAAACTAGTATTTTGAATTGGATGTGTATTTAACAGCGAAGCCCAGTGTTTATAAAGTCTGTTTCTCCAGGGCCCAGGCGACAGCGGCAGCTGCGTTTTAAGTAATTTATCATGCTGTCAGAAGGAAAGCTGTCCATGAAAAGTTTCAACCGAATGATCGAAGCAAACATTTGACATGGCTTATGTTTAATACATAATTTCTAAATGTAACAATGAGGAAGGATAATGTTGGAGAAGTTTGAAACTGTGACTTACAACAAGCTACTCATTATGAACTTCACAGGGCAAAAACACACTTGTGGGCTTTCCTACACTTTTATCTTAACTGAATTATTGCTCTCATGATATAAACGGCAATAGGTGGTCTTGTCCAAATGAAAACGATTACAACACTTGCATCTGTTTTTTTAAAACCATAGGTGGTCATATGTGGATATATCTGGACCGTATGCTATAACAGACACCTGGGCCTAAATTTAGTAACAGTGAAAATGCAATTGGTTCTGCAAATACCAAGAAATCTGCCAGCATCAAAACCTGGAGGGAGAAGAGTCTATTTATGCCTCTGCTTGTGAGTTTTAGCTCTGAGAATAACACATACACACATGGTTATTATGAAAGGCTACAACCAGAGGGGTTATCGCACGTCCAAACACCTTAACCTACCTGCTGAAGAGGCTTTTTATGAGAGTTCAGCACACAAACACAAGAAGCTGTTTATGTTCAGGTCTGAACATGGGGTCAAGCTTTCACTGGTTAGCTTCAGAAATTTGCCCCTGCTGGTAGATGCCATAACTACACAAATCTGAAGGGGGGAAAAGCATATGTATTCATTGATGGCAGTTCGAAAGTAGCCATGTACACTATTCTGATGAAATACAATTTTATACAACACATTAATTGCAAATATGAAATTAATGAATTCACACAATTATGTACAAATGAAATTACAGACAACTCATTAATCACAGTTTCTATTTGCTAGAACAACTGTTTGACATTTTTGTGCTATACCTTTTACATTGTTGCTGTAACTTTATTCACAAAATAAAGTTTCATAGGATAAAGCTCTAAAAATCCATTAAATATCCTAAATTTGCCATTGGGACAACTTACCCCATAGAGTGTTATAACATACTCTGCTAATGTTGACAAAAATTCAGTATGTTCAGTGTTCATAACTGAATATTTTTTTCTGGGCAACAATGATGGGAATGTTCAATAGCTATTTGTGCCTATATTAAATGACTTTCAAAACAAAACCAGACCAAAAAAAAAAAAAAAGCAGGGCACGTAGCTTCTGTCTCTGCTGGAAGATGCTGTATACATCATTCTGGAGGCATCAATGACGACAGTTTAAAAAAGTAGCTGTATATTTTGATAAAATATAATTTTATGCAAAATATGAATTGCAAATATTTAAATCACAAAATTATATCACATAAAATATTTCAATATTCAATTATACTAAACCAGTTGCTAAACAGATTTTTAAAGGGGCCATTACTGTGATATGGACACTATATCATTAATATTTATATATAGGCTATCATTTTTATTATGTCCTTATTTGCCATCAACCAATCAGCATTTTCCTGTGGCTACAGAGTAAAATAAAATAAAAATTAAAAAGAAATAAAAAAAAACCCTTCATGTCCGCAAAAATTAATTAATACCATAGACTGTATTTTTATTTTTTATTTTTTATACCATAGACTGTATAAAAACATGGACGTAGTGTCCGTGACGTCACCTAATACGCCTTGTTCTAACTAATTACAAGAGCTTTTCTTAACCTGTTAGCACTATGCTATGCTAAAAGGTTAAGCTGTTAGCTTGCTTACCAAAGGCTAACTGAAAACAAGGAAAATGTTTAATTTGAACATTTTAGAGTTGGTAATTACCAAATAATGTCTTGATTTAAATGACATTAATTAACATTTTCATTAATAAGACTAAATATACGGCAGAATAATGAATGGGAATGCTAATTGTCCAGGTACAAAGTATAAACCTTCCTGGGTCTGTAGGCCTAATATTACATACGTAAAGGGCAGAGTTCAGTGGACTTGTTTGTAAGTGTGCCATGCCTGTGTACAATATGACTATGTACATGCACTTCTGTTTATCGCTAGGCCTGAGAAAAAGCAAAAGAGGCTGCATGCCATAAACATGCGCTACCCAACTCCCACGTCTCCTTCGGCACGCACTCGTAGCCAAACTAAACACCGTGTTATCCTCAGCCAACACGTGTCAGCGGCCTCACCTGTAGATCAGCGCTTCCATACGACAAGTACAAAAAAAAGCACCACTTTGTCCCTCTCTGTCCCTTCCTCTTAAGGAGCGGTGCGTGAGTCAGATTAAATAATCATTGGGACCGGGGTGCGTTTCACCTTGGGGACATATTGTCCCCTGTCAGTGGAACCTTCAGGGACAGAAGGCGGCTCGGCGGGGGAGCGTGGTGGGGAGCGCTCCGCTCTGATGAAATGGAGCTGGCTTAATGAAGGCATGGCCCATGGCTTCCGCAGCTCTGCCATATGTTTCGTCAAATGCAAATGGCCCCCCAAATCAAACAACTTTTTCATCTTGATCTATGCAAATGTGTTTATAAATACGGGCTTATAAATATGGCATTTCACGTTTTAAAGAGCGAACTAAAAACTTCGATACCCCCTCCCTCACCCAATGAAAATGGCAGACGGATGTGGGACGGATTAATGGCGTCCCGTGGGATGGGTATGGCCTGGTGCACATGCGAACACGTGAGTGCAGAAACATGCGTGTTGTCGGTGCATTCGTTTAAACAGTTGTTAATGGGGTCAAAGAGTTAACCTGGTTTAAAATAAAAAAAAAATGTAATTTCTCTACAAACATTATGTCACTTCACTTTTATTTTGCATTACGTGCTAATAGTTTTACAGCACTTTATGGATTTAATGTCTTTATATTTCTGTGTAATGTAGCGTGATATAATTCTATATAATGTTAAATAATTATTCTATTAAAATCATATTTGACTTTAGTAAATTTTCTTAATTTTGTTTTTAACTGCACAGATTTTACTTAAAGGTAATTGCAAATATTAGTTCTTCTTATAGTTTTATTAATGCCAGACAAACTATTTCTGAAATTATAGGGTTTTTTAACTCTCTGTGTAGTTGGCTGGCGCTGTCACGGGTGCACTGCTGAGCGGAGTCAGGAGCAAGGAACGGAGAAAGACGAGGAGTACATCAATCCACCTGGGTTTTAATTTACACAAAGGAACACGGAACACTCACGCAATACATGGAGACATGACACGAACAATACCGGACGCTGGAGCACACACAGGGAACCCTATTTATACACACAGGAGGAGGGGATGACGAGACACACCTGGGAGCGATGAAACATCAAGGGAAACACCTGGGACAAATAAACTTAATCAGGACAGGAACAGGAAACTAACCATAGGAAGGCACATGGGGAGCAAGACACACACAAAACACGGAACAAAGTCTGACATAACGCCCCCCTCCGGAAGGCGTGTCCTCACGCCATATAACATCCAATGGGGAGG